TACACTTGGAATTCAGCATGATGGTTTCCAGGAGGGACCACGTGGAGGTCAACAAACTCACTTTTACCTTTAGAATATCAGTAAGGTTTATACGAGAATTGAATCCGCAATCTATCGGAATATGACACGTGTTAAATTTGTTACACTACTAAGGTACTCATGTATTTATTATACAATCGAATTGTTTCATTCCACTTGAAAATACGCTTGCCCTATGATATTGGCAATAACAACTAAATTCAGTCTCCGACTAAGTAAATTGTAAATTAACTGAACTGAATCAAAGTCTATACAAATGTTTGTATTGTGCGAGGATTAAACCCGCAAAATCAGAAAATAAAACATGCGTTAACTGTCCACTGCTGAATATAGACTTCCCCCATAAAAAAAGGTTTTACCAGTAGTGGCCACTCTTGGCAGGCGGGTTGGCAACCTCAGACTTTTGGTGATGTTTTAAAAAGGACGCTATTGGTCATTCCTCGACCATTAAGTTTCTTTAGTTGCCTCTTACGACACCAACGGGAAAGAAAGGGTTAAACCGTTATACAGTCAAGGAACTACCAAGAAACTAATATATCAATGCTAATATAAAAAAAAGGATCTCAATAATTTTAGTACTAATAACTAAACTAAAATATAATCTTGCTATTTCAAAGCAAGATTTAGAAAAAAATAATAGGTATTTTATAGGCATGGACATTAAATGTTATAATCAGATATAGAAGGATATCAAAGTGTTCTATTCTATCTACCTATTAATAAATTTAAAACTGTTATTAAAACACTTATTGGACAAAGCTAAACACTAAACTATTACTTTAATGACAAATATACACAGTGTTAGTTAATCATGCAATGGCTAAATGACTATGCAATGTTAAATGACCATGTTATTTTAGACATTTTATTATTATTTCAACCGTTAACCATCCACTGCTGGACATAAGCCTTCCCCATAAGAGGAGTTTGGCCAGTAGTTGCCATGCTTGGCGGACGGGTTCACAACCGCAGTTAGGCTTCTAAAAAGTTTTAAGAGGGACGCTGCTGCCCATCCCTCGCCCTTCCTTAGTTACTTCTTACGACACCCACGGGAACGAAAGGGGTGGCCCATTCTATGTTGGGACTCACATGGCGACATTATTTTAGATATTATATTTTAAATTTTAAATATACTACATTTAAATAAACAAAAATATTGTTAACTGCGATTTAAAAGAGTAACTGTTGAGTGTCTTGCGAAATTATCTCAGCAGATAACAACATTCCGATACTCGGTAGTAGAATTATAAAAGATGACAATTTAAAAGTTCTTGTTAATAAGTATGTTCGAGTAAAGATGATTTTCAGTTTAAATTTAAATAATAAAGCAAAAGAGTTTGTTGAACACGCTAATTTCAGTTGGATTAAAAATTTTTTACCATTTGATATCTCATTTCTTTTATAGGAAGATTATGGGCAATATGTATTCGATATATATATTTAACTACTATATTCGACATCAGAAGTTCACAATACGGCCACAAATAAACCCTTGGAATACAGCTAGTTTGTTGTATTTTTCAAATTGTTTCATTCCAATTAGAAGTACTTTACCTTAATGATAATAATGAGTAAATTAAAGAGTCGCTTACACTACGTTTGTAGTCAATAATACTATTCAAACTATGATTAAGTAAATTATGAACTAACCGAACTGAATCAAAATCTGTACAAATATTTGTATTGTGCGGCGATAGAAGCTACAACCATTGAAAGGTCAGAGAGGTATTGAATTGATGTACATTTAAAGGTACTCGTATATTTATTATATATTGAAATTGCTTCACTCAAGTTGGCAGATGCTTACCCTATGATATTGGTAATAAAGTTTGAATTAAAGGGCCATTTACACGACGTTAATTGTCAATAATCCAATTCAATCTCCGATTAAGGAAATTATGAATTAACTGAACTGAACTGCAATCTTATAGTAATTGGCATTTATATTATATATATTTTCCAAACCTTAAAATTATGGATATTCGCCAGAACGATGTCGCTTGATCAATAAAGCTTAAGATTGAAACTTTTGGAGTCCAGCCAATCGTTAATGTTACAACTCACAGCCTTTCACACACACACACAGCCTTGTCGAATGTAAAATGGATTTTTTTATTTTAGTAGACAATTAGAAATTTTACTTTATTGTAACTACATTTTTCTCTGCAAAAATAGTTAGTTCAAGCATGATTATACAGATGATAGTGACGAGTTCTATTGAAGATTAGACAGAAATAGTCTAATTTTGAACGCGCAATCATGTGTCTACAAGTAGATTTTGCTTCCCAACAAGCAGTTTATAGCACAAGAAAAAAAAAATTGTAAAGTACAACATTGGATAGTTCAGGACCTTATTTAAAAGTCTGTCAAAAAGTAATCCTATGAATAGTAGCGGGTGGAGATGAGTTGATGAGATGGAGTTGATGAGAAATAAAATACAAACAATTTTCAATAGATTTTCTGTATTCAATTTCATTATTTCTTTTATTATACAATAATAACACTAACATATTTTTAGTATCACAGTTGAAAAACATCATCATTATTAACTTAATTACAGTAATGTACTTAACTATTTTTAATTTATTATTTACCAATTAACCACGAATAAGAAAATATAAAAAATGGTTTTTCTTCTCGCTTTATTTACACCAACATCGAACAAAGACATCAATTTCACTTCAATTACGTACATACTTTCAATTATATAAATTAAAAAATATAAATTGGTAATGCAATCAGTTTTAACTAACAACAATTAAACAATTATTAAGAATAAAAATAAATACAATAATATACGTAAAAAAATTTAGTTAATATATATTAAAATATTATTGAAAAATCACTTATAAATTCAAAGTCGGAACGGTCAAATATGAATAAAGTTTTAAATAGATACTCACATAAACATATTCAAAACAATTAAATAAGATTAATTATATAAAAATAGTTTATGTTTTTAATTTATATTTAATCTCAGTTTCATACTATGAAGCATATTTTTAAATCTGATTTTTAAGCACAAATTTCATTGGTGGAATAATGATCTTTCTGGGAATTTTTAAATAATAAAATGGACTATTTTGCGAATATAACCATTGAAATAATAGTATAATATTTATAGAGGGTGTAAGAGACAGGTCGACAAAAATTACACCAGTGAATTCAGACCATTACTCTGGACTTAAAACCAGTGGAAATCCTTTTCGGAAAATTTTAATTTTTCTCTTATTTTTTTTTATTATAAATCATGCAATCTGATATTATGTCATAATTTAAAAAAGAACTTTATAGTGAAATACTATGAACTACCAAAAACCAGCAATATAATACACGTATTAAAATCCTACCGCGATAGAATCAGCTTTGTAAGGTCAATACCTCAAGCGTACGAAAACTATCTATGAAGATACAAAGCGCTATTGAGCGTGCTTTGTAGGTATCACGCGTTGTGTGGATCGTAAAATTTCAAATACATTGCGCGGCGTTATAACTAGACATCGTTAATTATATAGCTGTAGTGCATATCTGCTAGCTGTAGTGATTCAGACCATTCATCTGAATAAGGTGTTTTCGTTTTGCCAACCTATCCCTTCCACCCTGTATAAAATTTTATAGAAATGTGAACAATTGTAAAAATTAAATTAAACTTTATTTTATTAAAATACCCGTCACTCAATTTCTTAGAAACAAGATATCCTTTTAATAAATAATATTCGAATATTTTGTTCAACTGGCTATAGAAATATGAAATTGTTCGAATATTATAAATAAGCATTTAAATGATATCAGTTTTAAATATAAAATTAATTTAGCCCATTTCGATATTTGATATTTATGGTACAATGTCTTTACGTTATTATGAAATACACCAATCTGTAATGTAAACAATAGCATATTAAAAACGTATTATACCGTAACTTATTTTTATTTACACTATATCTTTCGATGAGAGTCACTCTCATCTTTGTGTCTGAATATCACGAAGATTAGTTTTAAAAAGTTAAATACAAGATAACAAACAGAGAGACAAACAAATAATACTAATATGGATCCCTGTTACCTGTTAGAATAATATCTATAAAATTTTTATTGAATTACTATATAAAAAGGTTAAATTAAAATAAATCATTGGCAATACAGAGACACCGTTTAAATATTTTTACAATAATAATTAATTAGTACCCAATTTAGAAATTGAATAATCATATTTTTAAGTGACATTCTTATTACGGATCGTTTTAATTATACAAACATAATAATTCTTAAGAGTACACAGTAAATGGATATTAATAATTTCATAATAATATCTGAGATTGAAATAACTATGTATGGACTGAATATAATATCGGAGCCTTAAAATTATTTTATAATAAATTATCTTTGTATTAAACGATATGATTGAATTGAACAGCATTAATTCAATTGTCAGATTTTTTTTTACCACAGGGATATTCTTTATAAAAATAGTCTGTTTGAGTACCACTGACCCTCTTGTGTTTTTACTACTAAGCAGCTATGCTTGCATTTGTATTACTGTGGAATGTGAGATATGGCAGTGAAGTTCTGTCATTTATGGTACAAAGACATAACCTTAGTCCTATAGAATGGCGATAATTCAGGAGCATGATAGTTGTCACAGTATATATAGAGATGGCCAAGATATTATTTATATCTATAAACCACACAACTGCTGCAATAAATATTTCAATACTTTCAAAAAGGGCAGCAATAATGGTGTGTGTGAACCATATAATGAGATAAATTAGGATGTACATAAATGTAAAACATAAATTTAAAATGAAATATAAATATTAGTAAATTTTATTTTTATGAAGAAAAAAGGGGTTAATGAATCCACCTGAATTTTTTTTCCAAATAAACCAACGAGGAAAAATTCAACATATTAAATTTATATCGTACCGTGAAGGAAGAAAAATATTAACATATATATTCAAGGAAATACAAAAAATCCTTAAAAAAAACATATAATTTAATTAATAGATATCGCTAGAGGAAAAAGATTTTTAACCAGTAGAGGAAGATTTAATAAGCTAAATAAAAAAGAAAAGTATGAATTACAACAATACAATTTCGGTCCTTATGGTATCATTATCAAAAGTCCAGTGGATAATTTTATTTTTCTCTAACTACTTCAGTTCTCAAATTGTCATTTTCACAGCCAGATCACTGCTACCTGAAAAATAAATGGGCATTAACAAAACATAATTAACGAATTAAACATAGACATATGTTCTAACATAAAGTAGGTATAGTAATTTAAAGGGACTTCAATCAATCTCAATAGTCCTAAATAAAGATTGTACAATAAGTTTCAGTGCATTTTGAAAACATTGCAGAGCGAAATGTTCAGTCAATAAGCTCATATAAAAGCTGTACTATGGATACTAGACAATAATGAGAGATATAAACAAATAGATAATATTACCTAAATAAATTGCAAAAACAAACAAACAAAGACTCATGTATACAAAATAATGTTGTTAGTATTGTGTCGAGTCGTGATTAAACGTCCAAATAATAATATCGTTTTATATTATCTGTACCACTAGAAAGGTGTGGGTGGCAGTATGTTTATTTATTTACTGTTTTTTTTTTTTTTTATATCAATCCGCAAGTTAATTTTGATAGAGGTTGAACCTCGACCAGCCACCACCAGTTGTTAGTATTCTACTGGAGGCCCAGTATATTAGCGACCGGTCGATGCAAACTCTTTTAGATTTTATTATATATCTTTTTATAAAGATTTACTTTTAGAATATATTAATTTGTAATTTCAATTTCGTATTTTATGACAACGGCTGTTCCTTTCTTGTTTGATTGCTGTTTAGTGCATTTTTCTCTGCTAAAATCCGTGTCTTCATTCACCACCTCAGCACAGTCCATCGCTGTCTAATATTTGGTTCTACTACTATTTTATTTTAATTTTTTGACTTCTCTATATCATGAAGTTTCAAATTTGATACCGGGGTTATAAATCATTGGGCGCCTACAATCGATTTTATTTTAATATTTGGCTGTTTACATGTTACCAAATATTTTTTCAAAATAAATATATAAAAATATCGTTTTGATTTTTTTTACTATTTTTCTCCATTAGTGAACACAGTAAAGGGTACACTTGTATATTTTTTAATTTAATTAAAAAAATTAGGCTTTTAAGAGTTAATACAATTGTTAAGAATAACCAGCAAAGAATTTGAATACGCAGTTTTCTATGAAACGCAATTTAACAACTCAGTATTTTATATTAGAGTTATTTGATATTTACAATATCAGTAGCATATGCCCTGTTATTTTATTATATAGTTTATGTACGGACGTCCAATTCAATATATAATGTAAATGTAGCCGATTAAATAAAATTACTTACTGTGGTTTTATTAAATGCATATTGTAATATCAAAATTATTTATGAAATAGGTATTATAATATCTGATATTTGCTGTATATATCTTTACACAAGAATAAATACGTAAGTGAAATTCCCAAGTGAATTTCCAATATTAATTCATTATGTAATTAATGATTTAATATGGAATCAAGATACAATACAGTGAGCTGTTAATTAAACTTCAAATAATACTCCATTACACATAAGTCACATTATATAGAGATAATTCCATAATTTTAGTCAAATCTACTGTAACATTATCATATTACTATGGCAGGATGTCAAAAGGATTCATTTTTATTGAAAGAACTCTATTGAAAGAAGAAATTAACATTAAAATTAGATTAAAACCTATGATGATATCGCTTAATTTTATCTAAGATACTAGCTGACTCGGTAAACGTTGTTTTACCATATACATTATTTCTAGAACTATACTTGAAAATATATTGTACTACAATTATTATATTCGACTGACATCTTGCAACTCTATTGCGGCATATAAAAATTGCGATTAAACAACAGGAGTTGATCGTAAAAGCGTGAAAATTTGAATTTGTTTGTATTTTTCAATGCTAAATCATAATAAAGTAAAAAAAAAAAAAATGTCAAAAAATAAAAAAAAAAAATTTAGGAGTGGGTCATCCCTATCATTGGGATATGAAAAATAGATGTCGGCCGATTCTCAGACCTACACAATATGCACACAAAATTTCATAAAAATCGGTAAAGCCGTTTCGGAGGAGTTTGGTAACAAACACCGTGACACGAGAATTTTATATATAAGATATAAAAATCCTGTTTAATAAATTAACAAATTTTGTTTAATCCGTTCAGATGTGTAAGCGTGATTAAATAACAAACATAGTAAAGATCTCTACGAACTTTCAAATTTATATAAGTAGACTGATAATAAAATGATAATATACATACAAGTAATATTCAAAGGCGATATCAAAATTAAAGATAACTTATTTTTACTGTTTGTTTTTTTTTATTTCTAATATTATAGTAACTTAACGTTGATCTATTAACGTTAACATACTATATAAAGTATATTGTTTTGCCCTGAGGCAGCTTTCAGTCGTGCTTAAACCGTACTATGAATGGCACAGCATATACTGTGATGCTCGTCATATGGATAATTAAAAAATATCAGAATATAAGGGATTAATTAACATTATTATTAAAGTTTTTGAATTTAAAATTATTCTATTTCAATGCGTATTGCCAAATGTTTTTTTTTTATTTTATTAAAAATATAAAAAAGAAAAAGTGACCAATTTCAAATTTTTTTTAATTGAATTTGTCCACCCCTTCCTTTCACGTGGGTGTCGTAAGAGGCTAAAGGAATTCAATGCAACAGTATTTATTGCGTATTTTAAATTATAAAAAGAACATATAGTATTACTTTTACTGTGAGTTGAAATAGTTTTTAATAAAACAATAACAGGATAAACAAGCTTCATCCGTTACACCTCAGGTGACTAGGTGCACGCCAATATATTTAACTTAACTGTCTCATAATTTAAAAAAAAGAGCGTATTGTTTTCAGGGTACATGCCTGTATATGAGTTTTTTTATTACATCATAACTTCTAATTTTCTAAACAGATTTAAATATATGGAATATTATTAGAATCATTCCAAAGAAGGCTAAAAGTTTTTGTACGACAGTCGTGTTTTTTATTTGTGATTTCTTATTTTTAGAGAGATTTTAAAAGCTTATTCAGACAAAACTTACAAGCGACAACCGGTCAATGCAGTGAGAGCGTTTAAATAACAGGAAAGAAATGTCAGGACATAAAAGTAATAGGGACCGCCCATTGTGTCCCTTGAAAGGAAAAAGATACTTTGTATCACAGATAATATAATCTTATTTATTATACTATTGACAACCATAGATAAATCCATTAAATAGATGTCGCTATTTCATAGATTTTACATGACAATTTTTATTTTTAAAGTAGGCTCAAAATATTGTAGTATTTTTACGAAGAAATTGCGCTAAGTATAAATTTAGAATTTCTTCATGAATTTGAATTAAAATTTCCTAACGTTTAATAGTAATGGTTATTTTTTTATAAATTAAGATGCTGAAATTTGAATATCAGTAATATATATCATATGTTATTGATGCTGATGTTTTTTTTTTTTTTAATTTAAAACTATATTTCATGCCTAATTAATATTTTTTAACTAATCATACACAATTGTACTTATTAGTTTATGGTTATTTTATCAATGTTATATAATATTATACAATTACTTTATACAGTATTGAATAATAAAACACTATAAATTTTGTGTCACATTTTTATACTATAATGTTGACAAACAATCATACATCTCATTTGATGGTAAATAGTTGCCACTTACGTTACCATAAGCAACATCCGATGGACACTTACAACCCTAGGAGTACTCGTATCACGTTCTCGTTTCCGACCCTCACGAAACCTTATTACGCCCTATTGAAGATCCCTGCGCTGCAGTCTCTAGAGAAAGCCTTGAAAAACTCATTCCACAGCCCGAGTTTCATTAGTAATTAAATACAGTTTGAAATAGGCATCATTAACATCCTTAAAAGAGTGTTCTAGAAGTAAATGTGAAATTTTGGGCCTTCCATATTGATACGTCACGTTCATCTGTTATATTAGTATACAAAAATTTTTACCTTTTTCGACACATATTTCTTTAAAAAAATGTTCACAGGCATTTTCTGTTACGACAACAAATAATAAAAATGTAAACAAACGAATAGTGGGCCCTATCTTCTAACACTCTGTTGATTTCCAATAATAAAAATAAAAAGTCTATTATTCCTTTGATAAGAAATTTTGTTAAGATGTATTTCTGTGATAATTAAAAAAAGAAAAACTAATTTACATTTTCATTAAGTTCTATTGAAACAAAGTATAGAACTCTTTTTAAAGGGTTGCTAATAATTTCCATTTCGTATAATATAAATTGAAAAATAAATAGATTAGAACCTTGGTGCATTTTAACACACCGCTATACCTTCCGATAGTTGCATGTTCGATCACCGCACAAATCAAATATTAAATAATTTTTGCAAATATTTTACTGATTTACGTCTTTTATGGAAGTAAACAAAATAAAATAATAATAATAGTCAATCTTCGATTGTTGGCAGTCGCACGCATACAAATAGCAGCGGAATTAAACAAAATACTTCTAATCAAATAACCAATGTATTTTTGTATTTTTAGGGTATTTCTGTGTTCAACGTGTATGTACTCGTATAAAAAAAGGTATTAAAAAAGTATATCTATCACTTGTTTAATACCCATAGTACAAGCTTTGTTTCTTTTGGAATTAGAGGGCACTGTGGGATGATATGATGAACAGTGATATTTATTATTATTACATAATATTACCTCGGGTACATAGCATGCAAGTCGGGATGCACCGGGACATGTGCGCCCTGCGGCACGTGAGTGACATGGCGCAGGTGCGGCGACATCGCTGCGGCGGCGTTAATTGCTCGGATGCGCGCACGCAGCCGCTCATACTGTTCCGGCTGGTACTGCGCCGCTATTGATACCGCGCTGCCCGAGTATTGCTGTTATTTTAAAATATAAATCATATATAAAAATATGTACCTATTAAAGCATATATAAAAATGATCACTTGAAATGTAAACAACACTTATTTTAATTTGTTTAATATACATATATACATAATTTATTCATACATTAGATAAATTTACATTCTAATTTAACTCTTTTAAATGGTTAAAAATTAATATACAGGGTGATAGGGGCAGGTAGGCACCTGTTTTGATGTAAATAAAAGACATAAAATAAATAAAACAAAAATGTATTTATTAATTGTAATTGATATAACTATATTACAGTATTAATTGGTGTATCTATACTTAAAAGACTTTTATATAAAACGCAAGAGAAATTCTAATTATTATATCCTCCATATTACTAAAAAAATCATTTTATACTATTTTTGTATACACTTAGTAAGTTGTCGATTATAAATAAAAGTGAAATAATGGTCGTTGATATGAATCACGAAAGTAAACGAAACATCCGTAAAATATAAAAACAGTTAGCGTACATTTCCTAAGAATGTATCTCTCTACTCACCCTGTCAAGAATAGGTGTTAAGATAGACAGGTATAATTACCTTCAACGCCGCAGCCGCCTGTTCGTGTGTCGCTCGTGTTAAATCCCGGCCGTCAACACTGAGAATCCTGTCCCCCCTATACAGCATCCCATGTGCAGCACCCCCAACTGTCACCCCTGACACGAACACCCCACACGCATCATCCTCGCCCCCGCTACCGCCCTCCGCTTCCCCGCCAAGCCCCCCGACAATGTCCATGCCAAGTCGAGACCCTGATCGGACTAAGCGCACCATCCGTACACACCTAGTAATAAAAAAAATCTCTTATAACACATAATAACGTCATTGCACTTCAAAGTAGCTACAGTAATACTTGAGATTATAATTGTGTAAATAAATGTAAAAATAAATGAATTTATCTTTTCAAACAGAATTTTTTACAATTTACCTAACACAGTCGTAATTAATGTAAAAATTGACTTGCTACAATAACTACTTATTAAGTAACAGTAATTAGGTGTTAAATTAAGAGCTCTATTGACCTTAAAAACGATTATAAGTTTAATTTATCCAAATGTAACAACCTTGCATATTCTATTAACAGGTTAATGTGCTAGTAGAGCGCTTTTGAAATAATCAATCAGAAATATTGAATAATGTGCAATTAATTTTGAAAACAGGTTTTGACAGGTTCAATAGTTTTGACAATTGCGACGTTGCCATACGAGTACTTCGCCAAGTTATAAATCAAAACTCACGGATCACAGTGGGGCGGGCGATTTTTTAAACTTATGAGCGGCATAAAAACCGCGGACTTTTTGCATACGACGACACCTCGTCTCTCTTTAAAATTAATACTGATAATAATTTACTGACTAAACGCGAAATCATGGAATCGTTTTTATGTATGTATCGTAAGTATTCACTGAGAATGAGTTTTTAATATTATTACATGAACAAAAAAACAGACATCAAGCAGGCAAAACCATGGCATTCAATTTTAATATATTAAAACAAGTAATAGAATGTTTCTAACAAAATAAACGAAACAAAAATCAATTTGGTAAAATAATAAACGTTTCAAATAAAAGGCGAACAGTGGTCACAAGTGTACGCGATACGCTTTCACGTGCCAAAAGAAACCTTTTAACTGAAGCTTAAAGTTTTATAGTTTTGAATTAGTGCCAAAAAGCGGGGCGTTAACGTAATTTAGTAGTGAAATGAAACGTGTCAGGAAACGTTAAACTTTACCTCGGTATTTCACTTGGCTCCTCCTCTAACAATTCGTGGAGTGTTGAACACGAAGTGGCTTGTGTTCTTGCTATAAGCGTACGATTTGTGTTAAATATGTTTTAACGGATATAGTTTGAATTTGTAAATTAACAGAGAAATATTTTACAATAAACGTCTGTTAAAATATTCATAAAAATACGAATGGGACAGAGGCGAGTAACTCTCCCACGTGTTACTATCGCTAAGTAGCTGTTACATGGCTGTTGTTTGGATTGAAGTGTGGTGTATGACAATGAAATTACAAGATGCAGAAGCATAACACCTAAGTCCTCAGAAACATCATGAAGGGTGTCATAAGATATCTTTGGTACTATCCATATCCATAAACGACTGTATAATTTTCCATGAAGAAAACCGACATATTGCTTGCCATTTTAAATTGCATAGACAAAATATCAAAAGATAAAATTAATTTAATTATCTTAATCCAATAAATATAAGAGCTAAACAGTTATCTCGAAATCAGAACTTATTAACAACAATGTAATGGACAGACAGACGAAATTATATGATTAGTAATTAGATAATGGAGTATAAGGATACGCGTACTGGAATAAAGCGGAGCGGTTCGAGCCACAGGCAAAATAGATCCAGCGGGTAGAACGACCAATGTGACATGTTCTCCTGTACTTCGCAAAGCTGCTACTGCTTGGGCATGAGTTGCACCCACTAGTGAGGTTTCGATACCCTAAAACAAAATTTTATTACTAGGTCATCGAACATTATTTTAAACTTATATTATATTATATGCTTTATAAACATTATATTATCTTTTATATATAAAAAAAAAATAAAAAATTCGCACTTTTATAATAAATATTCACTTAAATTAATTCATACTAATTTGTTCAACAATAATTGAGAATATTACGAGTACGTTCTATTAAAAACAATACTAACATCTTCATCTCTGACTGCCAATATTTTATCTCCTAGCCTTAATCTACCATCATGATGTGCAGCTCCACCGACAGCGATATGAGACACAAAAACGCCTCCGCCGCCAGCAGCGTCATCAGCGCCCCCTGCTATGCCCAGACCGAGTCCGCGGGCGCCTCGCCACAGTGTCACCACCCTAGGCCGCCGCGCGCGACGTACTCGCTACAGAAACAGTTGTAATGTTGTTATTATGATTTATAATGACATTTTATGTTAAACAAAGTGTGTTAGATGATAAAGTGTAATTAATTAAATTATTATTAAAATATCGACATTACTTAAAAAAATCCTTGAGGAAAAGAAATTAGTAATGACCTCATTGCTAACAATACAGAGTAAACTTAGGTCAGATCGGTCACGCGGTCCCTCCTGGAAACTATCGTTAATAATGCTTGTTGAATTTACCAAGATAGGTGAACTTAGCTGACCTTATCCACGTTTATTACTACTTACAAAAAAAAAATATCATTCCAATTTCATCAAACAGTGTTTTTTCTTAATTATCTATTAGATTGTAAAATATGTCTTTTTAGATTAATATTTCACTAAAATTCATTTTACAAAAAATTTTAATTTGGTCGATATTTTACTTATATTTATATTATAAATATAAAAATAAATACATCTAATCCAATTTATTTTCTATCTAGATTAAATTCAATAGTAATACATTGTTTCCATTCAGAGAGGTTTAAAAGACACTAATTAAGTCAGTAGAACAAGGCGCAATTAAGATAAACTTACTAATCTAACAACATTCCCGGCTTTCTGTAAAGCATCCACCGCTACAGAATGGGGTGCTCCTTCCAATGAAATGTCGTTTACCTATTTAAAACAAAAATACATAAGTTAGCATTGTATATATAATCAAAAATACCTAACGCTTTTTGGAAAAGGGATTTTATTTTATTCTAAAGAATCAATTGAATACTTACTAATATTATAAATGTGAAATTTTGTCTGTTTGTTTTTTTTTCTGCCTCAACGGCCATACCATTCGTCATGAAATTTAATATACATGTACTATTTGTAATAAAGAAGGGCATAGGCAACTATTTATCTCACTCTATATATACCGGTTACGCGAACAAAGTGACAGATAAAAGCTAGTATTAAATTATAAAGATTTGTTTAATCTTTATAAAAAAAAAACTTTGTCAAATAAATATTCAATTAAATCTCAAATTTAATTGTTGCATTGTTGGTAAGAGAAATGCTTTTATTATTTGCATGTGTTGATATCTTCCGATCCAATAAGGAAAGGTTTTTGTAAATTCCTACGAGAACTAAATTCCAAAGGAAATAACTGGCACCATAGTGAGAAAACCGTGAAACTAGGAAATTTTCTTTTAACATCTACTTATATACATATATGACTTAAAACAGTTATATTTTAAAGAATAATAAATTAACTATCTTTAATATATATATATATATATATATATATATATATATATATATATATATATATATATATATATATATATATATAAATGATTGCACTTCATTAGTCTCGCTAAAACTCTAAAACGGATACACTAGTTTGATTTTTTTTTTTGTTTTGCTCGCTATAATACTGGGCTTATTTAAAAGAAAAAAGCAACTTGGGACAACCTCGAAGTACAGTCGAAAAATCGAAAAATTAAAAATAGGTCATTTTGTGTGGGAATCTTTACTTTGAATTACTTCTAATGAATTGTGTGATGAAACTATCAGACAAACTATCAGAACTTCGTATTACTATTATATTAACAGATAGAGATGGCGTTTCTGGTGATACGAAGTGTATGGAGTCATCTAGATGTTTAAGGACTAGGCTCGAAGACATTTGTTTAAATATGTAACTAAACCATCAATAATTATTAAATATATACTACCTAATAGTTACATATATTTAATAAATTATTATAAAACTTTGTATTTTGCACAAAAAAGGTCATAAAATGATTTCAATCGATTCTGTACTCGAATTTTAAAAGTTTTGATTCTACTTTCCAAACGTAAATGGAGTATAAACTTTGTAAATTAACTCGTTCTGTATATGACATTTCATTTATCATAAAAGAAATTCAACGAGCCTACTTACCTTTTTTATTACTTCACAAAAAATTAATACATAGGATTGTAAAATTTTTCTTTACACTGATTCAAATGTTTATTTTAAAATATACTACGTTTGACTGACAATAATATGTCTATCAATCTAGAGTGTTAATACCTATTTTATATACCATTATATACCATTTTATATACCATGAGTTTAGTTACTAATCATTTAGTATAATCCAACGATAAATCTATAGTAATTACTAATTCCTACGAGAACTAAATTCCTAAGGAAATAACTAATACCTGATTATATATACATATATATAACAATATTAGGCTCTTAGTGCAATTATGTAAAATGAAACCTGTTACGATACGTGTAAAGACGACTTTTAACCCACCAGTTCACTTGTTTAACTACTGTTTAATTTGTAAAACGCAGACTATGGAGCTAAGTTAAGCTAAGTTATTACAAAAAGTTCGATCAATCTCTCTTTGATTAATATATTAATCAAAAAAGATTGATTGGTAATACAGATGTTTTGCCATAAACTGTGGATATTTGATTACAAATAATACTGTGGGCTTATTGAATATCTCCTGTGATAAATTATATGTTGTTTTATATTTATAGATACATAAAATCTCTTAGTAAAGAAACAGATATTTTTTTATGAGTACATTACTCATAAAAAATATATATTGTGTATTTTTTATTATTCAAATAATAAAAATATATTTATTATAATCTCTGTTTCATATGTAGTTTTCAGAATATAGAACGGATAGATAATAAATTATATTATGCTCTAAAATAACACGAATTTTATATTTTGTCCTTAATATTTTGAACATTCTACTTTGTATATGTAATCATAATATACAGATTGATTTTCTTTTTATTAGTGTATCGTTATATATGTTTTCCGTGTATTATATAGTGTATTATTTTGGTGGATGCTAATTACGGTAAATTAAGTTCACTTACGATTATGATATACATATATGTGAGATAGTTTAATTATACAATATCGTGCCGAGATACAGTAGATTATAAAAGTGCTCAATAATATATCTACAAAGATTTATATTTTTCAATGCTCTTATTTATTACGAGTACTATTAGCCATAAGTAGTTGCTACTAAATCGTACTATTGAAACTTACCTCGAATATGAAATATCTTTTAATAAATTGTATTCTATTTAAATGAACAGAAGATTCGTTTGTTGTTACTACATAAATACGATAATTAATTTAGCCATTTAATAAAAAATCGCACCAAAATCTATACAGCCTTATAAATGAGTTAATTCGAAAGTTCGGAACTTTGATGATTAACGGTTTCCGATTATTTTTCAGTGGGAGGCTGATGTGCCTGTCAAATTAAACCTTCAACCTAACATAAAATTTCATTAAACAAACGACCAAGTTTGGTAAGAATGTCGTTTAAGTAACTTCCGTGAAGAGTTTTTTAACTACGTGATAAAAAGTTGCAGAATGTTATTTTCTAAGTTTAAAGGTCTCTTCATTTCTTTTCCAAACCACAAGCTTATTTTTATAGCAGTGCTTGTAATATCTGACATAGAAAGCGGTTTATTAGTACTTTGTAATCTTTACATAGTATCGTAGTTCGTATATTTTTATGATATTATGTGATCAAATTCTAAAAATCAAATGCCGAGGTTAATGGAGTTGTATTTAACGCGCATTTTATTTTCAACTAGCAATATCCTGCGACTTTAATTCTAATACAAAATTTCATTTAAATCTGTCCAGTAGTTTTTATATAAAAAAATAACAAACATTCATCCATCCATACAAACTTTCACTTTTATAGTAATAGGTTATCATTCATCTCTACAACGTAACTTTTCAGTACAATCAATTATTAACGAAGATGGATTTAATGGGTCAGGTCAATATTTGAAATAGGTTTCTATGTGTAGATAATACTCAATTTTATACAGACTAAGGTCTGTACAAAATTGAGTCATTTTGTCTGCGGACAAAATGTTCTTTTTTTGTTCCTCGTTTCCCCGTTCGTTGAAGTTCGACAAGAGACAATCTTCGGTGTAAACTTTAATCCAGACATAAAATAACAGGCATCCTGCCATCCACATCAAATTAAATCAAGCAAAGATGATGCCAAAATAAATGCACCCCTCACCTAATGAATATATATGATTTTAACATGCATTTTTTTTTTGGTTACTGTACTCAAATCTCAAACCAAAATCTGCATAGAAGAAAACAATATATCTCAAGTTGTTCCATTATTGGTTGAAACTACTATTTTTTGATGACGTCATCAGTTTACAAATTATTTTACTTTGTAATTTGTCAAAAAATATTTGACATATTACAAAGTATACGATTCATTTTTTATGGTAATAAGAGGTTTACTTTCGAAAAGAATGGATCACGAGTCATATGAAGAGCTAAAAACTAATATACATAATGAAGTCTTTATCATGAATACTATTCGCTCAAATTTCTTCGAGTTTTCTTTTTTTAAATAGATTATACAGTATCTTTTTTTCCTTTACCTACTTCCTTTATCATAGTTTCCTACATAGATAACGAACGGAACTACTCTTCACTTAATTTAAATTTAACTTTAACAATTATGAGAAAAAAAAAACAAGTTACACTACAAGTTAACTAAAAAATGTTTGTGTTAGTTTAATTATATAATATTAAAAATTATATTAAAAAAGTCTAAAAAAAGTGGAAAGATCTCAAAGTCCATTCTAGTAACTTTTTATAATTTAATGTTACATTTATTTAACTTTGATTACCAGAAATAAATAATATTACATTTATTTCATTTCGAAGTCACTCACCTGTAATAAAATATCTCCTATCTGCAAGCGACCATCTTTTTTCGCGGCTCCTCCCGCGGCTAGCCGTGTTATGCTGACGTCACCGCCGGTTTCACCGCCAGCTATACTAAGGCCCAGTCCACCAGCGCCCCTTTCCAATGTCACGTCTGTTGTCTCCCACACGGACTCGTTATCGGAGTCTGAAGGATTCTGTAAAAAACATTAGATATTATAACAATTGTTTCTAAAAAAAACAAAGAAATAAAAGTTTAAAAATTTGAATTGAGAATCTTCGTTTTGAAGTCAGTTGAAAAATATAAGACAACAAATATAGGACAATAAACTCTATCGGTTGCAAAAATTATTATCAAAATTGACTCAGAATACCCGAAAATATTAAGTAGCATGTACAAAAAATACAGGAGAATTAAGAACTTTACCACTTATATATACACTTAATTATTAATAAATAAATGAGTATTTATTTAAAACTAGTGAACCCAACAGATGTCGTTACATCAATGACAGTCTATCAGCGCACCAGGAATAGTTTGTATGCGGAAAATGGCTTGTTACGTTTTTCCCGTCAATTTTTAGAATTCTTTTCTTCATTTACAGCAGTCTTAACCTAGTGGAATATAAGTGGCAAATGTAGTTGTGTTTATAATTGTAATTGCGTGCCTGATTTTTATAATTTGTGCTTACTCTTTATATTTGTATTTTTATCTTTTGGTTTGTCTATCTGTTCTTTGTAAAGGGTCGAGTGTTGGGACCAAACTTACGTAACACAGGGAACCTAGTACTGATTCCGTCCACTCCCAATGTCAAACTATGTATTTTCAATTTTGTGAAGTGTAGAAATTAAATATCATTGTGATTCTATAAAAATTTATTGTTGTTATAAGAATCTTTCTTCAAAAAATACTTGAAAAAGACACCTGAATTAGTCCTTCCGTCTTTGAATTTTACGCTTATTTAGTGATTTACATTTTGATTTATATAAATTTGAAATAATATCGATTATGTATTCCTAAAGATTGTTATTAAGGTCATTTAATTTCGTTTGAAATTTTATAGATAATGTTATTAGTGTTAGCAAAATTCCCTCTTTCTTATATCATATTAGAAAATCAACATCAAAATTTTTTTACAGATAAAGCTTAAAATAACATAATACTTAGGTTGATATATTTAAAAAATATTCATAATATTCACCATTAAAAAAATACAATACTGAAAATAGCGCAAATCTAAAATAATAATAAATATTTTTAAAATATTTGATTCTCGGAAATAAAAATCAGTATGAGGGTCGTTTTATACCTAACAGTAATTCACGGCATAATTTCGATAGGTACCTATAATTCCCACAGAATATTGAGTTATATGGAACTAAAAAGAAATGTTCCATTCCAAAGTCACGTCTGTCGACTCCCAAATGGACTGGCTGTCAGTGCCCAATGGGTACTGTGAAACGGTTGAATACACAGTCTGTAATTGCTTGGATAGCAGAGTGTAACGAAACTGCTGCTCGCTCGATTTAACCACGACCTTAAAATAACTTACATTCACCCGTTAACAATGGACAAGGGTTAATACCGTATGTCAACTCTAAACAGCAGGACACTTGACTCTAAAATAAGTTAAATTAATACCTTCTTTAGGATTATTGACATGGGATTTAACTTAATATATTCGTGTCTTGTTTAATGAATAACATTGCTTCGCTAATGTAGTTATCCTGTATGTCAAGGCTTTTATCAGATAAACACCCGTAACGTAATGTAAATAACCTAAACGGGAAACTTGAGAACAAAGTGTGCCTGTTTATTATCACTCACGCTTCGCCGAATAGAAATACGGATTTAACAGTTCGTGGACACAGCATTAAACTTACACCGAATCTCTTTCTGTATGAGTAAACAATAAATGGCAACATTATATTGGTTCATTAGAGAAATTTATCAAAATATATGTATACTGTTGCAAGAAATAAAAAATCAAGAAATGAATTTTTTATGCTTGCAAGAAGTGTAAGTTAAAGATCAGCTGAAAAGGAAAGACAAAACCCCTAAGAAAAATTACCAGAGGCAGAGACAATATATAAATCTAATAATTGAAAATAAATATTGAAATAGTTAATGCTACCATGTATATATGTTATACAAAAATATACGGTAAAGAAATATGAATAAATTTTAGATAAAATTTTTACATTTTATGGCCGCTATAATAAATTTGTATTGTCGCCTTAATAAAGTTTATATTATTTCCACAATTAAAACTAATCTATCAACACTCCATTTATTACAATCTATCAAATTGTCCATGAGAATTGAAAAAAAGCCTTATGAAAAAATTAATAGATTTTTTTATTACTAAACTGAATAATCATTTAATATTAGTCCCCAAAGACGAGTTATATAGATATTGAATACGTCTGATTGTACGAAATATATCGTATTACAATTAACGTAAAACAATTAATTATTTAACTGACGTCATAAAGAAGGAGGTTCTCAATTCGGTTGTATTTTTATGTTTGTTAACTCATAACTTCGTCAGTTTTAATGAGTTTTTGAAAATTCTTTCTTTATCTGAAAGAATATACTTACATATTAGTCTAATTATTTTTTCCAAGAGTTCAAGTAAGTCGTTTTTTTCTTTTATGGGACACAATTCTTAATTATTTCTAATCAGAACCAACATCTTTACAGATTTAAAAACATCCAAAGAACAGTCTCCTTTTTGCGAATAAAAAACGCTAAAATACTCATTTATTAAAGTTACTTTAAAGCGCTAACTACCAATAGGTTTTGGGTAATATTTGCATGAGAAGGTACTTTTTGAACTCTCTCACTTTACAGAATCTTTAATTTTGTTTTTCATTGACTATAATTATTAAAAATATTTAAAGAATAAATAACCAGAAACTGCCATTACATTGATTACGACAGGATTAGGAAGATAGATTCTGGTTATAACTCACAAGATTTTCTCTCTTGGGATTCAGACCACGACTGACTGTAACAATGAAATTTGCTGAGATCGTATCAACTGTCACAATTCAGAGTGCTTCAGGGAACTTTTTATTATTTATTCACTTTTTTGCAAATTTTATAGCAAACTGTGGTCGTGAATTCAAAGCCAAATAATGTGTGTCAAATTAAATTTTCAGCTCCATCCCTGGTGATGGTCGAAAACACCAATTAATCCGCAAGACCGTGTTAGGTTCGTTATCAGCCACGATAAATTCAAATATGCTTAACGAAATCTAGGAATGTCAAATATTATGATTATCGTAATAAAAATAGTCGTCAATTGCCTATCCCATCACATAGCTGAGAACGAACTCTTTTTTTTCTATAGTAGATGATTCTTCTTACAAATGGCGATAATGCTTGACTGTTGTCAGAGGATATCAAACGAAAAAACGAAAAAAAATTAATATAACTACCAAGTTAAAAAATAAATCATATTATTTAATTATAACTAATCTTCAAAACGATTCTTCAAATATTTGCAACTTATTTCAGGGTCTGCTTTAAAACCGTAGCCCGATAAGCTACGTCAAAGATTTTGTGTACAATTTTATATTTATTGTATCAAAATATTAAATAAGATTACATAATATATATATTTTCCTGGCTTATTATTACAATACACATACAAATATTAATAGAATAATCATACATAATAAAACAATTAGTTATAAATGAAACCTATAATGTTGTAGTAAAAAAAATTTTATTACTGATTCGTAAAAAATAACATTTTCTTAGTTATTTCATTAGTATATATATATATATATATATATATATATACGTATCCTTTGCCTGTGTTGATTACTATATACTCGTAAAGTATCGTATGTATTAATCTAGGATATGGCCCATCCGTGCAACTAATAGATATTCAAAATTGACGAATTCTAATATATATATATATAATTCGAAATATATATATATATATATATATATATATATATATATATACGATACTTTACGAGTATATAGTAATCAACACAGGCAAAGTTATGAAATACAACTAGTCTAAAATAATACATTATTGGTAGTACCGAGAATTGGATCTCGAATTTTCAGTATCAAGCATAATGGAACTTCAATTATTTTGGTAATAAAAGGGAGAATAGGCTATAATTTCCTGAGCCTAACGAAGCAGCATCTTTTTGTGTTATAAAGTGTATGTATTTTTTCATTCGTGACTTTATTGTGAATGTTCGCACAAAAAAATAAACATAAATAATACAATACCAACATTATATATGGGAAACTGAATTTGTTTGTTTGTTTGAACTTAACGCTTTAATAGCTTAACTAATCACATAGAATATTAGTGTCATAGTTAACTGTTTTTTTTATTTATTTCATCAACAATACAATGTAATACATATGTATAATTAAATGTAATAATATTAATTACATTTAAATCACATAACAATAATAATGTGTATATCTTAAATCTCATATTACCAACATTATATTTTGAGATAATTATTTGTGGTCTTCCGACGAAACTCCAGCAAGTTGGAGGCAAACACGTCCAATTGTGGACACCGGTAAGAACATTATTGAGCAGTTTCTGTGCAAGAGAGAGGGGAGCATATATTCAACTAGGAATAATAAATAAACTATCGGCCTACTTAACCAGAAACCTGAACTAGCCAAAGAAAACAATATTACCATAGATATCATAGTTGATATCTGTGGTAACAAGTACCATAAAAGTAACCTATGTACATCACAGAATATACAGTGATGCCCATCATAGATTGCCATTCCCGATGACTACGCTATTATGCCTCCATAGCACCTAAACTCTGTTATTTCACTGCCATATCCTAGCTTTCGAACTGAAACTGAACCATAAACAGCTGCTTAATAGTCCTATAAACTTTAAAGTTATAGTTATAGGTTATGGTCGTCTTTTATTGCGCAGTAGTAACACATTTAGCTTCGAGTTCGAGTAAACAAAAGTAACAGATACCAACTTAAAAGTATAAAAACTTAAAATTTTATAGATAAATACAATCATAGCATCCACTATAATTAAACAATTTTAAATTACATACGTAAATTTACAGACAGAAGAACCTAAAATTGTACTATATACTACTTTCGCCAGTTTTTCAAGTTAACCTTTATTTCCAATTAATTTAGAACCAGAGGGAAAATTTACATAAAAATAATATGTATGAGTACTGCCGTGTAGTCCCGGTATAGAATGGACTACCTTTTTCTTTCCCGTGGGAGTCATAAGAAGCAAATAAGGGAACTTAATGGTCGAAGGATGAGCAGCAGCATCCTTCTTAAAATATTACTAAAAACCTAACTACGGTTACCAACGCGCCTGCCAAGCGTGGCATCTATTGGTAAACTCCCTCTTATGCCTATGTTTATGGTAGACAGTTAATGGCTGATATGATGATTATGATGATATAAGTATGTGTACTCCATTTGTTTTTTCCAAGCAACCATATTTGTAACTGTAGAAATAGAAATAAATTGTTTAATTAAATTACAAAAAAGTAAATAATCTGAATTTAATTAATACAAATTCAAGTCTACGTAGAAAATATTTTTTAAAAGTTCATTATTATTTATCATTATAAATATAAAAATATTGTCATTTTTTGTCAAATAATAAAAATAATGTTCATAAAGATTTTTTTTGAATGTCTAATATTTATCATTCTAATAACGTACATTTGGTTGTCAAATATTGTTTCACTTTTTTTTTAAAGATATTTAAATTCTCTATTTTCTTAAATGTCTTTGGCTAATCTCATTGTTAAAAGGAAATTATTCAATGAATAAAAGTATAACTCCAATTCACAATTCCTAAGTAAGTCCAGCGTAAACAAAGGTAACATAAAGACAGGTATTATTATTATACCACAATTTTAAAGTTGCAGCTTGCTAAATGCTGTTTGTTTCAAGGAACAACATACAAACGAGATTCTAGATACACGTACACAGCGCTATAAACTGTGAAGTGAGAGAGAAAAGTGTTGTTTGCGTTCAGATATTATTGTGAAACGAACCTGGCAACTTCCTGAGAGTCGACGGCCACTTCCCGGACTTGCCGTTGCTTGTTCCCTCCCACATTCATAGTTGCTGACGTTAGCTGTAAACAAAAGTAATATATCAGGCTACGTAATATAATAATTTAATTGGATCAGATATTACTTTGTTACTATATATAAACTTTCAAATTAGTGTTAAATTAATTAATATTGCGATTGTTAGTAAGAATTTTAGTAGACGTTTCCTCTAAAAGGAAGGTTTCCTCTTTCTCTCCTTTTTATCATAAATCACCTGAATATAGCAATATCTATATAAATATCTAGTGTGGGCAATATCGAAATAGGTGATGATAAGGAACCTAATATATATATATATATATATATATATATATATATATATATTTAGCGGTTTCGATATTAAATAACCTGTGTCCTTCTTCCCAAATTATACGCAACTACGAATATACCAAATTTCACAAGCAGTCACACAAACGAGGTAACAAATAAACAAACAAACTCAGTTTTACATTTATAGTGTTACTTAGGTTATCGTTATTATAATAGGAATAACTTACGAGATTCTAACAAGATTTATTATTTTTAATATTGACATAATGACTGTATGAAAAAATTCCTCTAGAACTATATTTATAGTTCGAATTTCGAGTCATGCCTTAGAAGTAAAGATATTTTTTTATACAACCATCGGAAAGTTCATTGTACACGTCGGTTTAAAAGATTTTATACAGAGGAAAGGTCTCCTAAATAGGCACTTGACTGAAAAATTTCGAAGGAATTATAAAGATCTCTTCACTTAGAGAACTTGGATGGGGTCATATAATTTTTTTTTATTTGAACATTTGATAAAAGATCCGTCAAAAAATATTTCAATACTATTTTTACATTGGTTCCTCTTTGGAAGAGTCATTGACCATATGTTCCTGTAAATGCTTATATTCAGTTAATATTTATGTTCATTTATTTTCTACAATATGTATCTTTAATTTTTTAATAGACTTCCAAAAAGAACAGGTTTTCAATTCTCCTACAGAGGGAAAGGTATTGTTAGAAATGGAGACTAAAAATCCCATTGCTAGCAATATACCTAACCAGGTCGACCTCCATGCGGTTCCCCCTGGAAACTATCATGATTAATTTCTGATGAACTCATCATGATAGGCTAACTGGCCTGTTTTCATTCTCTTCTTTCACCCTTCACTGGTGCCCCGCCAGCGTATCCCGTTAGCGCGGGCGGGGTTACCATACCATTTTCACCCATCAAAAAAAAAAATCTCCTACATGTATTTATATATATTCTTCAAATGTTGTATGTAGCGAAAGGTATGTGATGACTCTCGATTTCATATTCTAAATTTAAATATGTATATCTACGAAATGTCCTGTCGTTTATCGATGTGGGTGTATATGTTTATGACTGAAGTTATTCAGCAAAATATATTTGTTTGCATATCAAAATCCATTTATACATCCACTTTTTTATTCAAGTGTATATATGTTATAAAACTTCTAAAGAAATCTTTTTTAAGATTTCCTCGTGTATTCTGCATTTATATTTAACATGAGGGATAATAAAAAATAACACTCCCTTAAAAGTTAAATAGACTTAAGTACGGATCTACGGAAGTAGTTTTCCACAAAAAGTAAATAGTTCTGCGTCTTTATTACATTATTTATCTACATGTGGTTAATATTTAAGAAAATATTGAATCGAGTTTTCATAATTATCGACTACATATAGAATTTAATCAGTAGATCCAGTTGAAATTAAAATACCTAGTATTAGAATCAACACAAGTTCTACATTCACACAAGTTCTTTACAGACCAGTTGTACCTACTATTATTGCTATTTACTTTACTCTGTGGTAACTAAACTAATTGAAAACTCAGCGATAGTTATACTTCATTAAATAGTTGAAATATTGCTAGAAGTATATAAATGTAAACGTTTAATATGATATTTAGAAGTTTGTAGAATTATTATTCACTAATTACGTTACTAAATTATGCTCAAACGATTGGATAAAATTGAGTTATACTTGGTACGGAAATAAATAATATCCTAGATAAAATACAGCTTACGTTTGATCTTAATTCACGTGAGAAAAATCGTAGAAAGCTAGTGGTGCAAAAATAATTTTTAAACCTTCATACAAATATTATATCAAGTAGATAACCTAATTAGAAAAACTTCAATTTTTTTACCTAATACGAAATTAACTTGAGACAAGTAATTCTATTTCATTAATGTTATCATTATTAGGTTTTGATTTGTTATGAAATAAAAATGGAGTATATAATGTTTTTTGACTAGCCCTGTAAAATAGTGATCTATTTACAAATATCTAAAAACACCTAACTAGCAGGTTAGTAACTTATTATAATACAATATCACTATTATTAATATTTAGTTCCCACATAGTTTTTTGCAAAATATATACATCATATATAACACATATGTAGCAAGTAAATAAGTAACTAACAGAGTCTGGCATCATTACTTTACCTAAATCCATAGGCCGTGTTTCCGTCTAACCGACTGTCCTGCCCATTTCGAGCTTAATCCGGTTATACATATGTTATCGTCGGCGAACTCAGCCCCTGGCGCTCTAATTGTTGCCTAGTGGTCGACAGTTATATACTCGATACAATGATAATTACATAGAGCAAGAAAATAATATGAAATTTCAAAGGCTAATCCTGAAAATGTTATATGATAATCTTAAGTAATTATAAATTACAAGTTGACGATATATGAAAAAGTATAATATTTATGTTTCAATCATAAAAATAAATTGACTAACATCAACATTACTGCAATTACGGTTTATCACACAATTAAAATAGTATCTGAAATTATAAAAAAGATAAATTTAAAAGATGTCAAAAAGCAATAATCATCCAACAAATACATTTAATGATTTGATTTGCATTTTTAATACACTAGAAAAAAAAAATAAAAACGAAAAAAAAAACTAAATTTTCGCCAATATTTCAAATGGCTGTATCTTTTTTTTCATGATACTCATCAAGATTGCGCGATACGTGTTACTTAATTTTTTTTTTGCAAGATCCAAAAATTAGAAACTTTAAGCTTGAAATTACTTTTTATTTGAATAATTTGAAAAATTGCCGAAAATATTAAAAAGATTTAATTTTTTATCCTTTAAAATTTTCCGCTAGTTTATTAAATTTTAAGTATATTATTGTTGTAAACCAATCTTTACCAAACATACTACTACATAATACATGTAGTATTACTAATATTTTCCTATATTTTATGTCAATGAAACTGCAACCACGCGATAGTATTGGACTAGAATAATTATACTCAAAGTGGACACCTTGCAGGTTGTAATCGACCAGCGGGTGGTCCCAAGGGATCTATGTCAGCAAAAAACAATTAGGGTCCATGAAATATAAGGTGGTTCACGATAATGGACACCATTAAAGCAAATCGCAACCACGATTTTGGATTTCCATGAAAAGAATAATATATATGTACAGGAAGTATGTTGTATGTACTTATGTATATTTATGTATCTTGCTAATATAATATCAAATACAAAAATATCTTGTTGTTTGTTCACACTAATCTCCGTAACCGCTTACCCAACAATTTGCAATAGACAGTGCAAAAAAAATATTCTGACATAGAATATTTTTTTGCCCTATCTACTGGTACTTTCTATAAAAAACGTATATTATTTTATTTCTTTAAACAAATTATAAAATTATCTGTAAAATTATATATATATTTTTTTAAAGTGATTACCATTATACTATTAGAAATATATTTTCAAGTTAAATTATGTAGAAAAAATTGTTATATTTAAGTTTATTTTTTTTTTTACTTTATACAAAAACATAGACTTAGTTTCGTATTTACAATAACTGTCAATAATAATAATATTTTATTTTTCTATTTATATTTTTATTTCCTAATGCATTAATAAAATTACTATATTATCTTACAACTGCATCTAATTAAAATTTATTATTGAAGGCGGAACTTTATGTAACCAAGTCGTGGATGTTGTGCCCTTGTTGCGAGGTGACATATCTAATTACATTTCCGTGATTACAATTGTCCGTGAGTATTATGCTAAATAATTTCTCTAAGCACAGTCAATCGTACAAAATTTAAAATTCAAAGAGTGAAATGAAATCTCTCCTAAGACTATAGGACTATCTTATAAACTAAATGTGATCTAAAAAAATTTAATATTAAATTAATAATACAACTAATATACAAATGGTATGGTTGAGTTAGTATCCCATAACACAAGTCTCGAACTTACTTTGGGGCTAGCTCAATCTGTGTGATTTTGTCCGTATATATTTATTTATTTATTATTTATATAGACGAAAAATATTAAAAATGAAAAAAGATCCAATGGATTTATTTTTACTTATTAAATTGTCTATAATTGTAATTATATTATGTATAGATAATAATTTAAGCACATCATTTAAAGTAATATTTAAGTAGGATTCCTAATTTTATTCTTTAACAGAACAACACAGTAATACGGCGATACAACATTACGCCGTGTCATCCTACTAATTTCATTCAAATAAGAAGGCACGTTAGTTGTCTACTGTTCGTAGAACGTTGTCTACTGTATGTAGAAAGAAAGTAACTATAGCACATGTAAGATTTGTAGACTCATCCTTCAGACAAAAAAAAATATTTATGACCTGCGCAAACGAGGTTTATTTTTGTAAACAAATATCTCTAGAAGGAAAGGGATTGTTGGTAATGGAGACTAAGAATCCTATTGCTAGCAATATACCCAAATAGGTTGACCTCCTCGCGGTTCTCCCTAGAAACTATCATGGTTAATTCCTGATGAATTCATCATGATGGGCTAACTGGCCTGTTTTCATTCTCATCTATCACCCTTCACTGGTGCTCTGCCAGTGTATCCCGTTAGAGCAGGCGGGGGCACCTTAATATTTTACCCATCAAAAAAAAAAACAAATATCTCTTAATATTTGTCTCCTCAGCCCGAACTTTTAAATAGCGACATACAATTTTTCGACCCACACTTTAATCAGGTTATAAAATACCTAAGTCTGTTTTGCTCTAGATTGTATTATATGAAAATCGATTCAAAATTATTGACGTAATCGTGTAATCATCATTATCATATCAGCCATTTACTGTCCACTATTGAATATAGGCCCCCTTGAGGGTTTTGCTAGTAGTTGACATACTTGGCAGGCGAGTTGGCAACTGCAGTTAGGCTTTGGTGATGTTTAAAGAAGGACGTTGCTGTCCATTCCTCGGCCATTAAGTTTCCTTAGTCGCCCCTTACGACAAAAGAAAGAAGAGCAAATCGTGTAATATAATTACTAAAAATCAAATGAATCGAGAACTCTTTTCTTTTGTATGTCACATTAACTGCATGCTACAATCCATATACGCTACTAATATTATAAATGTGCAATATTAATGTATGGAAATTTGAATGGTTTTTACTCAATCACAAATAAATGGCTGAAATAATATAAAATTTGTTAAACAGGTATATTATATTCCAACTTAATACATGGGACACTTTGTATTTGATTCATGCGGGATAATTCTCGGAAAACCATCATCTGCATAGGGTTTTTTAGTCGTGAAAGTTTAGTGCAGAAATTAAAAAAAAATACAGCATCGATATTTAATATTTTCCTAGTAATATCTACTATGTATTCATTCGTACTCTGAAAATGAAACTCTATATTTCAGTTCGTTATATAGCACTAAAAACATTGAAATTTTGCAGCTCACTAACAAGCAAGTCACGAAATGCGGCCGTGTTTTTTTGTGTTAACGTCACTCTTGTTTTGTACCCGTATTTATTTACGGTTTCAATATTATTGTAAACATGCATAAAAATTTAATAAAAGAAATATAGCCAGTTCAGAACATTAGATAAATACAATAATCCGTATGATGCCGAAGTAATAATATTGTGACGAAAAGAGCTATTTGCCAGAATAGCATAAAAGTCCACTAAAGATTTATATCCTAGCACAATACACGGATGCAAGAGAAGAAAAGTTCTAAATAAAACTGTTAGTAGCAGAACTTATAAATACTATTCATAGAGAGAGAAATTATGATTATATTGATAAATTATCAATATTCGTACTTCTTTTATTTTTTTATTTCTTTGGTATACCAAAGAAATAAAAGGCCATGCTTAATCTATGATTTCTACTAATCTGTATCCATAATAAAATAGGTAAACGATCGAGATTGATATTCGATGATTCGAGAAATAATGTCAATTATTCATTGACGGCCTCGGTGGCACAGTAACAGACACGTCCGTTTCTATAAACGAGGCCAGAAATATTTTTAGCGCATAGCCTAAATCTAGCTATAAAAAAAATATTTTTCTTTTCAAAGGATTATTTATTTATTTGTTTATGTATACTTTATTGCATCATTTATAAAATAGTAAACACATTTAACTGTAATAATAAATGATACAAAAGGCGGCCTTATCGCTAAGCAATCTCTTCCAGACAACCTTTGGGTAGAGAACATTGAGAAAACAAAGAAAAATAAAGGGTAGGTGGCGCACTATTATATTAGTACTATTATATATAAACAAATATATACAAAGATATATACATATATATGTATATACATATATATACATAAACAAATACATACATAAACATACACAAACTTAAAAGTACACATACAACAGGAGAGAGTGACACTGGAAGATGAAGATAGAACATGGGAAAAAATAGTTACTTAAAGGGAGAGATAATGGGCTTTAACAGAGGTTTTGAAACTAGCGAGAGATTGAGCGCACCGAATAGAGGTAGGTAGTGAGTTCCACAGGCGAACTGCCTGTACAGTAAAGGAATTGGAATAAAAGGAAGTGGAGTGAGTTGGAAATTTGAGACGGAGATTATTGACACTGCGTGAAGTTTGGCCATTGGCCTCACTAAGAAACACAAATCGATCTTTGAGATAATCAGGAACAATGGGGTTAAAAAAAATCGCGTAAAGGAGAGATAGGATATGTAAATTAAGACGAAAACGGATAGGGAGCCACTTGAATTGAGTACGAAATTGAGAAATGTGATCATACTTGCGAAGACCAAATATGAAGAATACATAAATTTTGAAGACGCTCAAGCTTGTTTAATTGCTCTTCAGTAAGGTCTAAATAACAGGAGTCGGCATAGTCAAGAATGGGCAGGAGTAAGGAGCGTGCAAGCGCAATTTTGGTGGTAACAGGAAGAAAATTACGTAATCTATTCAAGGCGCTAGTAACAGCAAAAATTTTTTTGCTAACCTCTGAAATTTGCGGAGACCACGATAAAGTACTGTCAAAGATAATGCCAAGATTTTTTACTTTTTTTTTGTAATCTATTAGAACCCCATCAAAAATTATTTATTCCTATATGATACTTTTGGCATCTATACTGAAAGTATCCTAAATTTTTTTATTTTTTTTTATTTTTGACCTCTTACTTGCACTATGTTACAAAATTACTTATATTACAGCAAGTAACATAGGTTATATATTACTTTCGAAAATTCTACCCACTCGTGCAAAGCCGCGCTAGATTTTTAGTACAAATATAAAATAAACGTTCATTATCATTCGCATATTCAATATATTATGCTTGCTAAATTAAGCTATACGTGATTTTGTGAATAAAAATAACACAACTTCACATTTCAGTTCTCAGTAACAAATTGAGATAGTTTATTTAGTTCTGCACTCTTTGGTTATTAGGATCGACAATTACATATTTTACAGGCCTCCATCACGAAGTTGGTCTATCTAATCGGAACTCTTACGTAGTTAATACGAATATCATATAGAATTTCAAGGGTCGTCATAAATATTTTATAAAGTGGGACTGTCGGTTTACTGTATAATATTAGGTTAACGATTCTTAATTTCCATAGTTTTGTTCCCGTTACAACATATCGAATAGAAATGAAACAAAAAATCTCATAAGTTCGATCATATTCAAGTAGAAGAAGTATGAATATAACTTCGGGAAAATTTTTAGGATCTGTACTATTCGAACCAAATTTAATCAGTCCTCAAGCGTACATCAACGAGTTTTCATTTTCTAGTCCATTATGTTGCTTTATTTGGATATTTACATAATTTGGTATGCGGTTACCATTTATTTATTTCACCACGATCTTTAATGACTAAATTGGTATCAAATTCAATATTCAATCCAACTTTTAAGTAAACACTATCTAAGATACAAGATATATTATTATTTAATATAGATATTCAAGACTAAAGGACCACTCAGGCCATTCTTTACATTAACTTTAAAATTTCATTAAAAATAAACTAAACCGGTTACAATCATTTTTATAGAAATCAAGTTTTGTAAACTCTAGATAATTTATATTCAGGTAATATAAATAACTTTTTATTTATGCGAATTTATAACTCGTCCAAAATATTATACCCTTCTAATAAAAATATTTACTCTTTGTATGATTTTCATATCGATAATTTTAATTGCGGATACTTTACGTTTCCAATTAATAATTTAATTCGTTCATTTTAGAAGAAAATAGCCCAATTCATTATAATAAGCTAGTAAGACTCCAAACCCACAAGAACGTGAACTTACGTAAATAGAAGGCTCTCGACAATTTTCATAAATATAAGGCAAATTAGCGAACGAAATGCGAACAGCCACGAGCGAAGTCTATGTAAATAGGTTATAATTTAAACATAATATCTTGTTTGCCCACGGTTCATATTTGTATATTAATGTTCTTATTCAAACAAACTGTGTCTATATCAATAAACATTATTTAAGTAATTAAAACATTATATTTGAATAATAGTAAAATAGTTCACACAGTATTAAAATGCATTTTACTCAATCATTGTTTGACTTTAATGAATGATTGCTATATTAATATTATTCTCCATTAATTTAAAAAAATCATAATTGTTATCATCATTATAATCGTCATAAGACTTAATGTTCATAAAAAATTAAATTATCGCAAATTATAACTATATATATATTATATATATATATATATATATATTATTATAGTTAGAAAAATGTACCAATACATCAATGTGAAAACTCTTTATACTTTTAAATATTTGTAAATATATAGTTATCATTGTCGTATCTTTAATTTAAAATATTTTGCTTTCTATTAATATTAAATGGTAAAAGTTTGTAAAGAAGTTGGATATTTATATACGAGTATATCTTTAACGTTTCCACGCTTAAATGTAATAACGTTTATAATTGTAGGAGTATAAACGGTTATACAGATGGACATCTTTTAAAATAAAGGAATAAGTTTTATTATTGAAATAAAAAAGAAACTTTTTAAGACTGAATCCTGCATACATAACCACAAGTACATCATACTTAACTCTTATTAATATAATAATAAAATATCAAATATTTAAAAAAAAATTCGCTTACTTTATTTTCAACAATTTGTGTACTACTGGATATTGGATGGATACTCATCTAAATACTATAATATTTTTAATATTGTAGTTTTGTAGAATTTCACTGTTTAATCGACTTATTACATTTACTATCTTAGTTGATAAATCTGTAGCAACTACCTATCCACTGATAGCCATACAACTTAATTTAAAAAATAAATAAAAATAATATTTAATTTTCTTTAAAAAAATTATAATTACATTCAAGCTTTGAATATAATTTTGAAAGTTCAAAATTATATTCATGTTTTCAGTATATTTTGAACTTACTTCAACTGTAAATGCCTACAATCTACATAGATTGATTTAGTTAGGTTCATCAGTTATTTTCATATCCCAACTATGTTTCTTAGGAAAGTTGTTCATGAATAATTGAATACAGTCACTGGATATACCTTTTTCGACCTATACCTCATATTTATAGGCAAATTCCATGATCAATATGTACATATTCATCTGTTCATTTACTTATTATAGAAATAATAATATTACTTACATTCTTCGGTGATCTGCAACTCAATCTTATCGAGATCTTCGACTTCGTCATCATCAAAGTCGGTCTGCACGGTGACATCGCGTGTGTAGTTCTCGAGCGCGATGACGTCAAAAGGCGCGCGCTCCTCTGGGCTGGGCGTGCGTGGTGTGGGTACGCAATGTGCGTCAGGTACCTCGTGACGCGCGCGTTTGCACGCGGCGCACCCACATAGCGAGCCGCGCACCCGCAGCAGCCACACTAGCCCGAACAGCGCCATCCACGTGGTCATGCTGCGACTACTGATTCCACCATCACACACTTATCTCTCACCAACTGTCACTTGAGTCTCTCATTAACATTTTGTTCAGACTCACCTTTTCAGTCAATCAAAAATTTGTTTTGCATCTAAGACAAAGTATATGTCAATAAGCAGGACGTAATCGATATTATTAATATCTTTTCAAGGCAGTTTTCTACAAGTGACACTAAACATTATTTCCAATAATGACTTATACCATCGACCCATATTTTTTGAAAAAATATTTAGTTCACAATAATACATTCTGCTAAAAGGATATTAATAATTTTGATTTCGACTTTTATATGTCATTATTCTGATTGTAGAACTCCTAAAATAAAATATTTATAGATACTATAGCTATAGCTCTGTATTTTGTTAAGTGTCCGTGAAAACGATAAAAAATTAATACTAAAGAAGATGTAACAAATAAAAAATGAAGATGAAAATTATTGAAACACGATACATATTTTGAGCATTTAAATAAAGAAAGAACTGGAGCCACTTAAGATGATATGGCAGAGTAAAGACTCGATGAAATGATAAATGGCGGCAATAAATTGCAGCCTCCACAGATATAAATGGCACCCCTTAAGGGGAGGACTCATGAAAAATATCAATTCGTCACCAACGATCGCCGAATTCTCCTTAGACGAGAAATTAATGCCACAAATATTGAAGAATGTAGATGAACATTACTCCGGTAATCATATTTTACGTTCCCTAAGGCACTGCGAGTGCCAACATAGAACGCTTATGAATCAATATTTTTAGATTTCACTGGAGACATTAGTAATCCATGAGAAATGAACGTTACGGGAATGATAATAATATTGAAATTTGAATCTTAATAAATCTTTATTTCAATTACATCGAATATTTGGGAGACCGACCCTTGTACGTAAACAAATTTTTATCCACTGTTAATTATTGACTGGTGACATAAGTTTACCTACTTTTATAATAACCTTGCTATAAAAAATCGTTGCACACCCTTTAATTAACAAAAACAGTGTAAGAAAACTAATAAAGAATGAGCACAACACGTCATTGAAATGAATGCAATATTTAATAGTTATAAAAAATGTCGTCAAAGGAAGATTAATTTTTAAGATGCTTAAAACAACATATTTAATTGAGTTAAAAATTGAGGGTTATTAATTGTTTATAATTACTCCAAATTGTTTATAATTACTCCTCTCCATCCAAAGGTTACCTGGAAGAGATCGCTCCTAGCGATAAGATCGCCCATTATTTTCTCATTGTGATTATTTCTTGTTGTTTGCGCTTGAAGGTGAGAAGCTCTTGGTTGAAATGAAATGCTTGTCCGTGCCTCAAGTTTTATAATAAATTAAAATAAATACAAAAGTGCGTGTAGTTCTATCCGTTAACAAAATTTGAATGTTTGACCTTCTAGCGGTTAAACGGTCTATATCTATGGTTCTAATATTGCAAGTACGAAAAATTTACTTTTTATTAAAACGTCTATACTGCCAAATCTTGAACATGCCCCCGGCCTTGGAAGCTTCAGCTTTCAATTTTAAAACCTTAAAACTAGAATTAGTCATCAAGTAAGGGACATATCTTGCTGTAAGCGCGTCTCACGACACCTGACGATGTGCGAATATCGGCTACTCTAGTGATGCCGTCTTTGCCAGGGAAGATCTTCACTATTCGACCGAAATGCCATTTTAGCGGCGGTAGGTTGTCGTCCTTAATAACTACTAGCATATCAGGCTGCAGTTCAAGTGTGTTCTTCCTTCCTTTAGTCCTTATTTGAAGTTCTGACACGTATTCTTTCGCCCAACGGGACCAAAATTGCTGTCGAATCTGCTCAACTCGTTGATAACGTGTCAGTCGATAAACAGGCGTCTCAGTGAAGTCATCACCAGCAGGCGCAGTAAGTGGACGTCCCACTAGAAAATGGCCTGGACTAAGAGGTGACAAATCTTGTGGATCTGAGGACATAGGGCTTAAAGGACGGGAGTTCAGGACCGCTTCAAATTGTGTCAACACTGTGCTGAACTCCTCGTAGGTTAAGTGCGCGTTTCCTACTATACGACGTAGGAAATTCTTACAGGACCGAATTCCAGCTTCCATAATCCACCAAAATGAGGCGCATAAGGCGGTATGAATGTGAATTGAATATTCTGAGCCGTGGCATATTCTATAATCTGTGATGAACAATTAGCTAAAAAATGTTTAAAGTCATTCATCAATCCAACAAAATTTCTACCATTATCAGAAACAATCTTACATGGATTGCCACGCCTAGATATAAATCTCTTTAACGCTAATAAATATGCATCTGTTGACAAGTCACTGACGAGTTCTAAATGTACAGCGCGCGTTACAAAACAAATAAATAAGCACACATAGCATTTTGTCGTCCTAGCACCTTTGCCCTTACGATTAAGTATGAGCATTGGTCCGGCGTAGTCCACCCCAGAACGCATAAAAGGAAAGCCCGAAGTTAAGCGTTCTTTTGGTGAATCTCCCATAAGGGGAGTAGGAGTCATACCTCTCAAGCGTTTACAAATAATGCAATCATAAACAACCTTCAACCTGCAACAACTGCTTGTGTTCGTGTCTGAATAGTAGTAGGGAGAAAATATGTTTAGATGAAATTAAAATCGGATGTTTTTATCAAAATTAAAGTCGGGAGAATTTACAATCCGACCACCAACACGAATTAGTTTATTTTTATCAATAAATAAATTTAATTTACACAAATTATGCTTATTAACTAGAGTACTATTATTTGTGAGTAACCTATACTCATCTGAAAACGATTCTAGTTGAGACAGTCGAGCCAAAGTTATATCAGATTCCCTCAATTAATTGACAGTGAGAGTACCTGACCGTTGAGTATTTTTATTGCGCGTATTATGAATAAAACGTTGCATATATGCGACAGTTCTTCTCATGCGACTATATTGAGAAAATCCAACAAATGGAAAGAATGTACGTTCGCAGTCTTGATCAGTAGCGTAGGAATGCGTTACACTGGATTTCAACTCAGGCAATAGTTGCTGAGAGTCAAGTGAATTTAATGATACATTATTGCAACTGAAGTTAGTGTAACGAAGAAAAGATGGGCCTTCCCACCATAAAGTAGAAGATGAGAGATCCTCCATCTGAATACCGCGCGAGATCAGATCAGCTGGGTTTTCCTTCTCTCTGACATGACGCCATGGAAGTTCCTTCCCCAACTCATATATTTCTGCCGTTCTATTTTGTACAAAAGTTTTTTGTACTAAATAGAAGAGTCCTTCTTCTGAGACCTTGCATTCGAGTGCCAGCTGCTTTAGACACCTAACAATAAGAAACGGTGCGGAGGCTGTCCCATACGTTACCGTGTTTAATTGATAAATACCTAACGGTTCAGATGGATTGTCACGCCACACAATCAACTGGAGATCGCGTTGTAATTCGTTTAGGAGACACTGCCTGTACATCTTTTCGACGTCTGCACAAGCAGTGTACCTATGTTGTCTGAAACGAAGCAAAATGTCAACTAAATCACCCTGCACTGGAGGTCCGATTTGTTGAATGTCATTTAAAGACACTCCACTACTGGTGGCGGCACTCGCATCGAACACCACGCGAAGTTTTGTTGTGCTGCTGTGCTCACGATACACGCCGTGATGAGGTAAAAAGAAGTGTGGGGTTCCATATAAAGTTACTCGCGTCATATGATCTAATTCGATGTATTCGTGTATAAATTTAAAATATATTTTTTTATAGTTAGAATTACGTTCTAATTGCCTCTCTAGTGCCAAAAAACGACGTTCAGCTTGTGACAAAGATTCACCCAAAACAGATGGCGACTGTTTCAGTGGCAAGCTGACGCAAAACCTTCCGTCACTATTGCGCGTGGTAGTACGAATGAAAGCTTCCTCACAAGAGCGTTCTTCGTCAGTCTGTATGTCACTAGTTTTAGGCACCTCTTCTAACTCCCAAAACCGTCGTAACTGAGTGTCAATAGATTGAGTGAAGTTACATTGGACAGACGTATTGATATTGTGCGTGTTAAACTCAATAGGCCCTGAAATAATCCAACCTAACCTTGTATTTTGTAAAAGGGTCCATTGGGTAATCTCATTTTACCCTCGCATAATAAGTCCCAAAATAAGTCTGCGCCTATTAAAATATCAATATTTTGAGATTCATAATATTGTGGATCAGCCAGCTGTATATAGTCAGGTATCATAAACGACTGCGCGCGTTGACTATACATAGCAGTAGGTAGCGTAGATGTAATGTGCGGCAACACAAAACATTTAATGCGTGCGGAGTAATTTTCAATGCGTGATTTGATCTCGATATCACATATCTGTGATGACGTTGTTACTGTGTTGCCGACACCTCGAATTTCGCAAGTGGACTGTATTAAGTTTATATTAATTAAATCGCATAGTGGTTTAGAAATAAAACAATGTTGACTACCACAGTCGAGAAGCGCGCGTGCTAAGTGAAACTTATTGTACCTATCGGCTATCTCGACTATAGCTGTAGACAATAAAACGGGTCGCATAGTAGATTGTTTGTGAATTAAATTAAAATTATCTATGTGTGTACTGTTTACTCGAGACGAATGAATTTGCTCGGGGATGGACTGCGCGGGCGGTGCGACAGTCGCGGGGGTCATTTGACTAGAACCCGGGGTTTCGTTGTCGGCTAGATGCATTGATACGACCGCTACTCGATCAGTCACGTTATTATGAATAAGCGTGTTGTGTTTTTTAAAACACAGTCTGCAAGGTCCAAATTTGCACATACTAACTGAATGCCCTGGACGTAAACAGTTCTCACATAATTTATTTGCGGTTATAAATTGCAGTTTAGCGTCTAAGTTAGTGTCCAAAAATGTTTGACATGAATAAAGTGGATGATCGGCGTTACACATTAAACACGATTTCTTAGTAGACGTGATTCGACCTTGCTGTGACTTATTGGTGGAAATATTGCAGTGCACTTTATGTTGTGATTTTTTATATGACGGATAATATGACGATTGTTGTGAAGTCGCGTTTTGAGTTTTAACGTCACTGTTAACCCTGTGTGAAACTAGCAATGTTTCCAACATGTCAGCCCTGTCTCTGAG